CCCCGTTCTTGAGCGGACCGTGTCCCACAGGACACAGCCAACCTTTGAGCCTCGAATCCTCCTCGTCCTACTCCTACTCCTCCTGTGGCTCCCTCAGGCTTTCGTTCGCTCTTCCTCTTCCTCCTTCTCCTCCTTCTCCTGCTCCTCCCGCTGCTGCTGCTGCTGCTGCTGCTGCTGCTGCTGCTGCTGCTGCTGCTGCTGCTAGTTGCCAACGCACACATGCACATATTAAGATGTCGCCATCACCCTGGTCAGCAACACCACTGTGCCGATTGTTCGAAGCTGACTCGTGTTTGGTGTTTTGTTGCAGAAGCCGACCTTCTTATCGCCAAACACATTGCTGGATGTGCCGACGGTGGTGGAAATTGTGGAGGTGGCTTCCGCCGCAACTCGCAGCCATCTTGGGAGAGTCCGACCCAAACTTGAGCATGTACGTGATATGTCAGGTTTCTCATGTTGCCGATGTGGTTATGAGCTTCCGTCTGCTACGCTGACACATGAGAGTCGCCACGTTATTCGTCATAGTTGTGCTGTTGCAGGCATGAGAGTCGCTGGGTGAGTCGCCGGGTTGTTCGTCATAGCATTGGTGCTGCAAGCCGTCACGCGGAATACGAGAGCGCTGAGCAATTGTGCCCATTATTGGCTGCTTGTCTAAGTTTGATAGCACCGCCTGTGGTGAAGTCATCACGGTCGTCGGCTAAGTCGTCTCAGCGTTTGTGTTGTAAGCCGCTAGGCCAAATTCGAATTAGAGCTTATGCTTATGAGGATCGCCGGAATTTCGCGATTCCAGCTGCTTCTGTTCAAGCTCCTGAACAGCCCATGCTGTCACCTGCCGTCCTCCCCTCCTCGCATCAGCGAATCCCGCCTCCTGCCGATGTCGTGTCTTTGTTCCATCCGATGTTTGGTCCTTCCTCCTCCTTTCACTTAACCGAAGTCCAAAGCTCATCTTTTCTCTTCCTCTTCCCTCCCTTCTCCCCCGCGTCGTCGTGATCATGCTCCTTTCCCCCTGTTCCCTCATCCTCTCCCCCTTCTCCCTTCCACCTCCTCCTCTTCCCTCGCCCTCCTCCTCATCATCCTCTTCCCTCCTCCTCCTCCTCCTCCTCCTCTTTCCTCCCTCCTCCTCCTCCTCCTCTTCCTCCCTCTCCTTCTCCCCCTCCACAATTGCACAATCTGAATACGTCTCTCCTCTCTCCCCTGGTGACGTCCTGGAAATGGCCGGCGGTTTTCGCTTGGGTTTTCTTGTTTTTTTCCAAGATGCTGCTCTCGCTGAGGCGCTGGCATTTTCGGGCCACCGCTCGTTCCGAATCGTGATCCCGCGCTTCCGCTCGTTCCGAATCGTGCTCCCGCTGCAGCGCTGGCGTCATTATTTCCAGTGCCATACCACGGCATGGTTTTCAGTCCTTCCAGATAGGTCCCCAATTCAATGCCCCTCTGAAAAAAACATCGGAAATGACTACACATTCGGTGCCGATTCGTTGATTTTTTGGGGTCGCAGACGCCGCCCCACTTTGGGGCGTCGCCTCGCCATGCTATGTCAGGCTCCGCGTCCTCCGACTCGTGCTCCCGCTGCAGCGCTGGCCTCATTCCCGTGCTTCCGCTCGTTTCGAACCGTGCTCCCGCTGCAGCGCTGGCGTCATTATTTCCAGTGCCATGCCACGGCATGGTTTCGGTCCTCTCAAATGGTCCCCCGAAGAAACCATCGAAAGTGATTACACATTCGGCGACGATTCGTTGATGTTTTGGGCCGCAGAAGCCCCCCCCCCCCCCCCACTTTGGGGCGTCGCCACGCCATGCTATGTCATGCTCGGCGTTGATCTTCAACACCATGCTATGTCATGCTGCGACATCCGATTGTGCGAATAGAGCAGAGATCTATGCCATGGTATGGGATGGGAGGGAGGGGTAGAACGTCAGATATGACGCGAGCGCACCTAGCTTACCCCCCCCCTCCCCCACTCCCCGTCCCTCCTCCCTATCCCTTCCCCCCCTGAATACACCCTCCTCCTCCCTCCCCCTCCCCCCTCCTGGCCCCCCCTCCCTCCCCCCCTGGGGGGGGCCCCCCCCTCTCCCTCCCCTTCCTCCGACCCGCTCCTCCTCGTCCTCCTCTCCCCCTCCCCCGCCTCCTCCTGCTCCTCCTCCTCCTCCTCCTCTCCTCCTCCTCCTCGCCTCCTCTCTGCTCCTCCTCCTCCTCCTGCTCCTCCTCCTCCTCCTCCTCCTCCTGCTCCTCCTCCTCCTCCTCCTCCTCCTCCTCCTCCTCCTCCTCCTCTTCGGCCCAGGGGCGCCCGAGCGTGTCCCCATCCCCCATCACACAGGAGGACCATCGGGCATTGGGCTCATGGCCCAGGGCTCCGCCTCGGGAGCCGCCCAGGCCCGGCCTCTTCGAGAAGGGGTGGGGCGCGGAGGCGCCCCCCCCCCCGGCGCACCTCGCGGCGCCCACCACCGCTCCTGGCGAGCACGGCACGCAGCTCCCCTTCCACCTCCCCTCCTCCTCCTCCTCCTCCTCCTCCTCCTCCTCCTCCTCCTCCTCCTCCTCCTCCTCCTCCTCCTCCTCCTCCTCCTCCCCGCCCAGGCTGCGTTCCCGCACCGATGCATCAACCAATCAGGTCGCGAGGTGAGCGCAGGCGGCGGCTGCAGGCCGGGGGCTGCCGGGGAGGAGGGGAGGGAAGGAGCTGGCTGCTGGGGAGCGGCGCGGGGCGGCCTGCTGCGTCGTCGCCGTGGCGGTCGCTGCGGTGGTGGCCGTGGCTTTCGTGATGGTGACCGTGTCCCGTTGTGGTGGTCGTGGCGGTTGCCGTGCAGGTGGTGGCGGTGATAGTGGTCGTGGCAGTGGGTGCGTCGTCGAGGTACAGTGCCGTTTCTAATACATGCTCCGTGTGCGGATCATGTATCAAACATGCAGGGAATGAGTACTAACAACAACGATGAGTTCATGCATAAATTCATTCATACATTAGTCATGTATTAAAACTCATAACTTTTAGAAAAATCGCATGTATTGAAAACTGCCTTGTAGTGGTCGTGAAGGTGGCCGTGTCCCGCCGCAGGATGGTCGTGGTGGTCGTCGTGCCGGCGGTCATGGCAGTTGTGGGTGGTGGTCGTGCTGGTGGTGCTGGTGGTGGTGATGATGGTCGTCGCGCTGGTGGTCGGGGCTGCTGGCCTAGCGCCCGAGCGCGCTGAGCAGCATCTCATCGCGCTCTTCCTCCTCCTCCTCCTCCTCCTCCTGCTCCTCCTCCTCCTCCGATGTCAGAGATTGGTCTTGAATGCCTTAAGAACTGAACTGAACTCCTCCTCCTGCTCCTCCTCCTCCTCCTCTTCATCATCATTTTTCGCTGGCGACGGTGACGACGACGAAGTCGAAGACGCCGCCGCCGCCGACGCCCTGCAGGAGGCGGCGGCGCAGTCGCTGCGGGAAGACGCGCGCGCGGCGCTGGAGCAGCACCAGCGCGTGGAGGCGGACCTGCAGGCCGAGGGCGTCGCCGCCGCCGCCGCCGCCGCCGCCGTCCGTCCATCCGTCCGTCCGTCCGTCGTCGTCGTCGTCGTCGTCGTCGTCGTCGTCGTCGTCGTCGTCGTCGTCGCCGTCGTCTCCATCGCTGGTCGTTCGTCGTGGTCGGTCCTCCGTCGTCCAGCGTCGGTCGTCCGTCGCCCGTCGTCCGTCATCTATCGTCGTCTGTCGCCCGTCTGTCCGTCATCGGTCGGTCCGTCCCCGTCGTCCTAGTCGTCCTCGTCATTGTCCTCCGCCTCTTGCCCGACACCGACAGAGGGTGTGCGGAGGAGCGGCGGGAGGAAGTGAGAGCGATTTGGGCAAAGTTCCGAGAGCTTGGGGTTCGGCGCGTCTCGAGACGTGCTGGTGGGCGGTTGGACGACAGTCCATGGGACGAGACGTTACGTGCAATCCTGCGTATTCGGGTGCCCTTTTGGCTACGGTCCGCCTCATAGTCGTCCTTATGATCGTAGTCGCTTTCGTCTTCCCCTCGCTGCTGCTGCTGCTGCTGCTGCTCCTCCTCCTCGTTCCCATCGCCACTCTCATTTTCCTGTTCCTTCAAGTTCTCGCCCTCCTCATTCCCCTCCTGTCGTTCGTCGTCGTCGTCGTCGTCGGCCTTGTTCGGGCCGTTCGGGCGGACCTCCACGATCTCTACTTCCTGGGCCCTCTCTTTAGCCGTGGGCTCGTTGCACCCCTGTCCCCACTGCTCTGAGTCGGCCGCCGTGCCGTGCAGCGTGCTCCAGGGAGGGCCTCGGCCTCGAGGAGCCGAGCGGTTCACCCTCGCCCTCGGCGGACGAGCGGAGGGCCCGCGGCCGCACGAGGGGTGGCTCCGCCGGAGGATGGCGGAAATGGAGGCCGAGCTCTCCCAGAGTGGCACCCTGGGAGAGCAAGGCCACTCCTCCTCCTCCTCCTCCTCCTCCTCCTCCTCCTCCTCCTCGTGATCCTCCTCCTCCTCCTCCTCCTCCTCCTCCTCCTCCTCCCTCCTCTTCCTCCCCCCCCTCCCCCCCCTCCTTCTCTCCTCCTCCTCCTCCTCCTCCTCCTCGTCTTCCCCCTCCTTCGTCTCCTCCTCCTCCTCCTCCTCCTCCTCCTCCTCCTCCTCCTCCTCCTCCTCGTCTTCCCCCTCGTCTCCTCCCTCGTCCTCCTCGACGTCGTCTTCCTCGTCGTCGTCGCCCTCCCCTCCTCGAGAAGGGGCTCCCGATTCGCAGTTCTCGGCTGGCCCACTGGAAGGTCCCTGGCGGCCCCCCTTCGCCACAGAGTCGGCCCCACGCACGACCCCTCCCCGGGGCTGCCTTTGGCGGGTGACGCTCGGGGGGGTCGCGCTCGGGGGGGTCGCGGAGGGGGCCCGCTCCAAGCACGCCAGCCGCGACTGGTCGGGGGGGCGCCAACTGACCACCGCACCGATCCTGGCTGGGCCCGACCGGGGCCCGGGGCTCACCCTGACTCCAGATCCGTCCTCTTTTGGCTTTTTTTTTCCAACTTAAAATTGCGTCGGAAATCCACCTATAAGAAGCCGAACAAGTAGGGCGGAAACTTCTGCACCCAACACAAACTAGGGCGGAAATCCAAGTAGGGCGGAAACAGCAACAGAAAAGTAGGGCGGAAATTGGAATCAGCGGGGCCTGAAAAGTCAGGCGGAAATCCCGAGCCCTACTTACAAATTTCCCCAAAGCAGGGCGGATCCGGAGTCAGGGCAGCCTGGCCCAGAGCTCCGACGTCGTGATCTCTGCTCCGCGTGGGCCCCCCTGGAGGTCCTGGGCCCCTTCCCCCCAGACCCCCGACGTCATGATTTTTTCATTACGTCGACCCCCAGAGGTCTGGACCCTTTCCCCATGACCGGCTCTGCATCCTGAGTCGTTTTCTGACGCTCCCGAGGCCCGGTGAGGGCCCTCAGAGGCCGAAAATAGCGAAAAACCTCCCGTCGTGATTTTTTCATGACTCGAGGAGGTCTGGGCCCGGGACCGGCTTCTCGGCCCGAGTCGCTCTCCTTGGACGGGGCCGGGGGCCCGGCGAGGGCCCCTTCGCGGGAGGCCGCGAGCGGCCAAAGGCACCGCCCGCCGCGACCTCCCTGCCAGGCGATGGCAAACGTGGATCCCGGGGGCGCGGATCGGCGACGGGGCCCGCTCCCATGGGAAAAATCGAGGATCTTTTGCCGCCGACCCAGGCCCCCTCGAGGAATGCAAACATCCCGACGGGAGGTTTTTCGGTCATTGTCGGCCTCCGGGGGCCCTCACCGGGCCTCGGGAGCGTCAGAAAACGGCTCAGGATGCAAAGCCGGTCATGGGGAAAGGGTCCAGACCTCTGGGGGTCGACGTAATGAACAAATCATGACGTCGGGGGTCTGGGAGCGAGGCGGCACCGGCCGCGCTGTGGGGAGTTGGCGACCGCGCGCCAAGTCCATGGACGGCTAACCCACGAGCCGCGCCCCCGATCCTGCGCGGCGAGAGGGGCCCTGACTCCGGATCCGCCATACTTTTTTGGGAAATTCGTAAGTCGGGCTTGGAATTTCCGCCTTGCTTGTCAAGCCCCGCTGATGCCAATTTCCGCCCTACTTTTCTGTTGCTGTTCCCGCCCTACTGTGGATTTCCGCCCTATTCTATGTTGGGTGCAGAAATTCCCGCCCTACTTTTTCGGCTTCTTATAGGTGGATTTCCGACGCAATTTTACGTTGGGAAAAAAGCCACAGCAGGGCGGATCTGGAGTCAGGGGAGGGTGTGGGGGCTGGGGGGTGGGGGGGGGCGAGGGGTCGGTGCAGGGCTCGGTGGTCGGGTGGCGCCCCCCCCCCCGAGCTGCAGCATCGCCGTGGCATACGGCGGCCGTCGGCATCGGCCGCGCACGGAGGGGGGGGGCCACATCCCGCTGGGCGCGCGGCCAGCGGAGGAGGCCGCCACGGCTTCGGCCGGCCAGGCCGCCCGCGGCCCGATCGAGGGTCGAGCGTCGAGGGTCGAGGGTCGAGGATCCCAGACCCCCTCGAGGAATGAAAAAATCCTGACGGGAGGTTTTTCGGTAATTGTCGGCCTCCGGGGGCCCTCACCGGGCCTCGGGAGCGTCAAAAGACGACTCGGGATGCAGAGCCGGTCATGGGGAAAGGGTCCAGACCTCTGCGGGTCGACGTACTGAAAAAATCATGACGTCGGGGGTCTGGGATCGAGCGTCGATGCTGGAGGGTCGAGGATCGAGGATCGAGAGCCGAGGATCGAGGGTCTGGGCTCGAGCGTCGAGGTCGAGGGTCGAGGGTGGCGGGTCGAGGGGCGGCGATGGCGGCTCGAGGGACGGAGGTCGAGGGTCGAGGATCGTCGCTCGAGGGTCGAGTGAATCGAGTGTCACCCGAGTGGAACCAGCACGCGCCCCTTCCCGCCGCTCCTCCTCGCGCTTCTCCTCTGCCTCCTGCCGTTGCTCCTCCTCGGACTGCCTCCCCCTTCTAAAAAGGCAGCGACGGGAGGGTTCTGGCCGCGCTTGGCCGGCGGGGGCCCTCGCCGGGCTCCAGGGCCGTCCAACGAACGCCTCGGAGCCTGCCAAAAGACGATCGCGAAGATGCTGGCAGAAGGAGCAGTCCAGATCTGGAAAGGGCGCCTTGTCCCTTCGGCCTCTCCATGGTCGTTCCTCTGGCGCTCCGCGTGCACCCAGGCGCTCTTTGGGAATAGAGCTTCCTCCTCCCTTCTGTCGCGGTCCCTGCCTGTAGTAATTAGCTTGGCTGGACTCTTCACACGGACGCCGCCGGCCTGGGCGAGGAGTGAACGCACACGTGGCCAGATGTCCTTCCAGCACTCGACACTTCTGTGTCCAGCGCTCGACACTTCTCGTCGCTCGGGGAGCCGCTCCGGGAGCGGCGGCGCGTCTGGACGCTGCGCATCCCCGCCTCCCCCTCCGATCCCCGCCGCAGGGCTTCGCGCGCTGGTAAAACGAGTGGCCTCAAGATGCTCCACGCGTGGATTTGGCTGTGCGCGTGCTTCCAGCTTCCTGTGAGCCCTCCCCCGCCCCTCCCGAGGGGCCTCCGCACGACGGGCGTGCTGCGCTCCCTTCCCGCGCGTGTCCCCCCCGTCCCCCAGCCGGGGAGGGGGACAAGCCACGAGGTGTGCGTGAGCGGAGCCCTCGGAAGGAGAAGGAGGAGGAGGAGGAGGAGGAGGAGGAGGAGGAGGAGGAGGAGGAGGAGGAGGAGAGGAGGAAGAGGGAGGAGGAGGAGGAGGAGGAGGAGGAGGAGGAGGAGGAGGAGGCCCAAGACGGCCCACGAGACTCCCGGGAGCGCCCCAGGAGGCCCCAAAGCGGCCCAAGAAGGCCCCGAGGTGGCCCAAGGTGGCGCCGAGGCGGCCCGAGGAAGCTCCCAAGGAGCCGCTCGACGCGCCCAGACCGTCCAAGAAGATCAGCCCCCAACAGGCCCCCCAGACAGCCCCGCACGGCGCCAGGAGCCCCCAGGGTAGCCCGATAGGGTCACCAGGACCCTCTCCGGATTCAACATCCTACTCCAATGGCCTCTTACTGTCCTCCGTCGTCGTCGTCGTCGCCGCCGCCGTCGCCGCCGTCGTCGTCGTCGTCGTCGTCGTCGTCGTCGTCGTCGTCGTCATCGTCATCGTCCTCCGCATTCCTCCTCGTACTCGCCCTCGTTCTCTTCGTCCTCGTCCTTGTGCTTCTCTTCCTCTGCGCTGTCCTCATGCTCCTCCTCGCTATCCTCACGTTCTCCACGTTTTCCTCCTCATCGCCTCATCGTCGCCCTCGCCTCCCTTTCTTCTTCTTCTTCGCCCAATAAGCCAATTGGACTAAAGCGGCGCTTCCCTCTCTCGTCCCATCAGGTTCATTATGGGAAGGTTGGAAGTTCCCCATTGGAAGGCAAAGGTCTGAAAATCGTCAATCGTGCCAGCAAGTAGCTCTTTGGACTTCAGTGCAGCCAATCCACATGACTGGTGCGTCCTGACAGCCTTAAATTGTGCCAGAAGTCAATTCTTTGGGCTTGGCGAATCAACGTGACTTTTGCGTCTTGGCAATCCTACGTAAACCGTGCCAGAACATTGTCTCTGGGACTTCAACCATACGAACCCTAGAGCTGCTCTAAACTTTAAAGACGAATGCGCTCGGCGCTGAGGGGAAAACCATCTGTTGAAACCGTCCCGCCCTCGAGCCTTGAAGCTGCTGCAACATGTTAAGACGAATGCGCGCGGCTCGAATGCGAGAACCACATTTTGAAAACGTCCCGCCCTCCATCCTTGAAGCTGCTGCGTACTTGTCATACGATCAAGACGAATATGTGCGGCGCCCAGGCGACAACCACATATTGAAAACCTCCTGTCCTCCATCCGTGAAGCTGTCACTAACTTTAAGTTTCGGGATCATATAAGGTGAGGAAGTCTCGAAGGCCCGCCCTACCGACACGCCTGGGGGTTCGGCAGGGCGGAGTTGCTTATAAGGACAACGGACGGATGAGGAGGAGGATGGGGAGGAAGAGGAGGAGCAGCAGCAGGTTGCAGGAGGGTGAGGAGGTAGGAGGAGGTGGTAGAGGAGGAGGTCCATTGCGTTTGCCCCTTCTGCCCGCTTCGCCGCTCCCCTCTCGCCGTCTGCTGCCGTGCCCCGCGCTCAGGGCATGGTGGAGCAGCTGCAAACAGCACTGGACACGCATCTACGGCAGCAGAAGGAGGAGGAGGAGGAGAAGGAGGAGGAGGAGGAAGAGGGGGAGGAGGCGGAGGAGGAGGAGGAGGAGAGGAGGAGGAGGAGGAGGAGGAGGAGGAGGAGGAGGAGGAGGAGGAGGAGGAGGAGTGAGCGAGGAGGAGGAGGAGGAGGAGGAGAGGAGGAGGAGGAGGAGGAGAGGAGGAGGAGGAGGAGGAGGAAGGAGGAGGAGGAGGGAGGAGGAGGAGGAGGAGGAGAGGAGGAGGAGGCGGAGGAGGCGGAGGAGGAGGAGGAGGAGGGAGGAGGAGGAGAGGGAGGAGAGGAGGAGGAGGAGGCGGAGGACTGCAAGGACGAGCACGAGGAGGAGATGGCGGGATTTGGAGGAGGAGGCGGAGGTTGAGCTTTTGGTGTGCTCATGTGTGCTCCACCGCGGACGCTGACAGTGCCAGCTGCTGCTGCTGCTGCTGCTGCTGACGAGGAGGAGGATGAGGAGTAGTAGGAGGAGGAGGAGGAGGAGGAGGAGGAGGAGGAGGAGAAGTAGGAATAGAAGGGGGAGGAAGAGGAGCAGGAGAAGGAGGAGGAGGAGGAGGAGAATGAGGAGGAGGCGGGAGGGGCATGGAGGGCGACACGGTGGGCACGAGGAGGGGAGCCGAGGAGAGGGGGGGAGGCGGGCGATGGGGCGTGTTGATGGTTATGCTGATCATCATTCGCCATGGTTCTACAGGCAAGACGCTGACGTACGCAGCACTTCGGATTCGGAAGGGGCTCGCTTCAGATTCTCGTACCGCTAGCGCTCCTGGTACACCCAGGCGCTCCTGGTGCCAATCAGTGGGTTCGCTCCCTAGCTGATGCTCCTTTCCGGAGAAATATGATTGTAATGATGAGGGGCACTCGTGGGTGGATGATGCGTGTGCAGAGGAGGTGCAGGACGGATGGGGGAAGACGAGGGCAAGGTGAATAGGAGGGAGGGAATGAGGAGGATGAGTAGGAGGAGAGAGAATAGGGAGGCGCAACGGTGGAGGGAGCAGCATGGCAATGACGATTCTGCGGATGCTGCTGCTGATGCTGGTGACGCTGAGGATAATGACGAGCCAGGAGAGCGATTGAGCAGAACGATGACATTGAGAGCGGTCGGCATGATGCAGGGGTCGAACATAATGCGTATGATCGGTGACAATGATGATGCTAATGAAGGGGTAGTGCGTAACTAATGGTTGGTGATGATAGTGGGGATGGGAATGGTGGTTGTCGAGGGTGGGTGCACGATAGGGAATGTGGGGTTGAGGGAGAGGCGAGGAGAAGGCGAAGGCGGGATGATGAGGACGGCATGTTGTGAGAATGAGGGAGGGAGTTGACGATGAGGGCGATGAAGAGCAAGCGAACTTTGATTGAGGGAGGAGGCGGATGCGGGGAGGAGGAAGAGAGGAGGAGGAGGAGGAGGAGGAGGAGGTGTGAGAAGGATGAGAAGGAGGATGGAGGAAGAGTGATACTAGTGACCAGGGGGAGGAGGCATTGGGAGGTGGCAGGGATGAGCACGATGAGAATCAGGGTACGGGGAGAACGAGAAGGGAGGAGGGGAGGTAGAGGGTGAGAAGGTGGGAGGACAATGATAGTCTTGTGAGCATGAGGGAACGGATGATGATGATGATGATGATGATGATGATGATGATGATGATGATGATGATGATGATGATGATGACGATGACGATGACGATGATGCTGATGCTGATGCTGATGCTGATGCTGATGATGATGCTGATGCTGATGCTGATGATGATGATGGTGATGATGACGATAGATGATGATGCTGATGATGATGCTGATGATGATGGTGATGATGATGATGCTGCTGATGATGATGATGGTGAGGAGGTTGATGCAATGCGACCATGGGACCCTCCTCCTCCGCGTCCCCCCTCCTCCTTCCCCATCTCCTGCCTAGAGAGAGAGAGAGAGAGAGACAGAGATAAAAACACACACACACAACAACAACAACAACAACAACAACAACAACAACAACAACAACAACAACAACAACAACAACAACAACAACAACAACTTTAGAGTACCTCCCTGCGTTTGGGTGCCCGCTCGCCCAGTCATCACTCCATGATCCCATCACTCAGGCGCAACCCCGTAGTGTCTTCCCCTGCTGCTGCTCACGCCCCCGGGGGCTCCTGCTCCTCCTGCTGCTCCTCCCCCCTTCTCCACCCTGTTCCCCTTCCATCCCCCTCCCTCCTCCTCCCCCTCCCTCCGCCAACCCTCCTTCACTCGCCCGACCTCCCTCCCCGACGGCCACGACGGCGACGGCGACGACGCCGGGCCGCGAGCACGACGGCGGGCGGCGGCGACGACGGAGGCGGCGACGCCCCGCCGCGGCGACTGCGCCGACGACGCCGACGCTGCGGCCGACGGCGCCGACCGCCGCCGCGCCGCGACGGCGCGACGACGCCGGCGCCGGCGGCGCAGGACACGCAGACGCGCGAGCTGCAGCTCGCGGTGGAGCACCGCGCCGAGCAGGCGCAGAGGCTCGAGGCCCTGGGCGCGGAGCAGCGGCGCCTGCAGGCCGCGCTCGGGGAGCGCGGGGCCGAGGCGCCGGCCGCCGTCGCCGCCGCGGTCGTCGTCGTGGTCGTGGTGGTGGTCGTCACGGGCCCTCGGGACCTTCCCGCCTCCCCCTTCTCCCCTTCCTGCCTCACCCCTCCTCTGTAACTGGTGGGGGCTGGGCAGCTCTCGATTTCCCCCAAAACACCGGCAACGATCTCAATGAGGGCTTTCGTCGCTTCTCGTACCCGGATCTTCTGCCTGCCTCCCCTTCCTGCCTCCTCCTCCTGCCTCCTCTTCCCCCTCCCCCTCCTCCCTTTTCCTTTTAGCAGTGGTTCAGAAGTCAATGCGGGTCTTCTCTCAGTTGGTATGGTAAGTGCACCCCGCAAGCGCAGCAGCACTAAAGCAGAGGCTGCGCAAGGCCATTTTTGTTAGGTCAGCCAGGTCAGGAGCACTTTGGGGTAGCCCTACCTCCACCTCGTCCTCCTCAAAAGCTCCTTCACGAAAGCGTCTAGGGGTCGTGGAAGCAGATGGGGCCAAGCAGGGTGGACCATAAGCTCTTACTCTGTGGCCACCCGTCACCCTCAGACCCTCCTTGGGCTCTTGGAGAGGTGCTTTTGCTGCTAGACCAGCGGCGTTCACAGCGCACGAGCCCTTCTGGATTTAATGTGATCTTAGCTCTTAGTCTGGCTCAGGGATCCCGCCGGGCCAAGGGCGCGTCAGTCAGTCCGTCTGTCAGTCCTCCTCCTCCTCCCCCTCCTCCTCCTCCTCCTCCTCCTCCTCCTCCTCCGCCGACGACGACGACGACGACCACGACGGCTGCAGCATCAGCGACAGTGACAGCGACGACGACGACGACGACGACGACGACCGTGACGGCGACGACGACGACAGCCGCAGCGACAGCGACGACGACGACGACGATGAGGACGACGACGACGACAGCGACAGCGATGACTGCTGCAGCGACAGCGAGAGCGACGACGACGACGACGACGACGACGACGACGACGACGACGACGGCAGCGACGACAGCAACAGCAGCGACAGCAGCGACAGTCACGGCAGCGACAGCGACAGCGGAGACGGCACTGTCGTCGTCGTCGTCGTCGGCGGCGTCGGCGTATCGTCGTCGTCGGCGGCGTCGGCGTGTCGTCGTCGTCGGCGGCGTCGGCGGCGTCGTCGTCGTCGTCGTCGCTGAACAGCGGCAACAGAGGCCACTGGGCAGTCGGAGGAGCTCGCCGGCGGGGCCGAGGCGGACGCCGCCCGCCTGCGGCAGGACCGGGGCGCCTGGGAGGCCCTTCCGGAGGTCCTCGGAGTGCCCTTTGGAGGTCGGAGGCGTTTTGCTGATCCTCCTCGTCCTCCACCTCCCCTCCTCCTCCTCCTCCTCTTCCTCCTCCTCCTCCCCCTCCTCCTCCGCCTCCTCCTCCTCCTCCTCCTTCTCATCCTCCTCCTCCTCCTCCTCCTCCTCCTCCTCCTCCTCCTCCTCCTCCCTCCCCCCCCCTCCTCCCTCGCCTCCTCCACCTCCTCCGCGTCTCCTTCTCCACCTATCTTGGTCAAGCCGCAGGTGCGTCGAGGCGTGATGCGTCAGCTCCTCCTTCTCCCCCTCCTCCTTCCCCCTCCCCTCCACCTTCCACTCCTCGTCCTACTCGCTCTCATCGTCCCTCTTCCCTCCTCCACCATCCCTTGCCTGCGGCTGCTCTCCCAGGGGCGGTCGCCAATCTGGAAGCCTTCGGCTCTGCCCATGGGGCTGCGCTCGCTCGCCCGCTCTTCGGAGCAGCGCTGGCTTCTAGAAGCACGTACGCTCTTCTGGGTGGTGGCCAAGGTCGCGCAGGAGCATGATGATGACGAGGAGGAGGAGGAGGAGGAGGAGGAGGACCAGTGTAAACCCAAGATTTGTCCACGCTGTTGCATGAAGCCTCCCTCCAAGTTGCTTCTTCACAGGTCCCTACAATGGTTCATTTCCACTGAGGGAAGTGCCCCGTTTGAAGACAACCGTCAAGAAATCCTGAACCGTGCGAGAGCACCATGCCTGGGACTTCAACTCCGCGAATCAACGTTCCTGCTGCGTCCTGACGATCCTGAATCGTGCTAGAACCCCACTCCTGGGACTACTGCCGCGAACCTATATTACCGTTGCACCCTGACAGTCCCACATCCTCTCGAGAGACCGCTTCTTGCGCGTCCACCAGCAGAACCCATGACACCGCTGTATATATATATATATATATACATATATATATATATATATATATATATATACACACTCCAAAGACGACCTGTGCGCGGCGCCAAGGCGAGAGCCGCATTTTGGGGGAAGCCACCCGCCCTCCGTCCGTGAAGCTCCTCCGAACTCTTTCCAGACACGTGCGCGGCGCCCCAGCGGGAGCCGCGTCTTGGAGAGCGGCCCGCCCTCCCTCCGTGCAGCTCCTGCACATCAGACGACTGTGCGCGGCGCTGAGGCGAGAGGGCCCCATCTCGAAGAGGACCCGCCCTCCCACCGCGAAGCTGTTGTACAGTCTGAGCTGCAGGACGGTAATGCGTGAGGAAGTCTCAGGCAAAGCACCCGGCCCGTCCTGCTGACACGTCTCGGGTGCGACGGCCAGGAGTTCTGTCATCAGGAGAAGGGATGGGGGAGGCGGAGGAGGAGGAAGAGGAGGAGGAGGAGGAGGAGGAGGAGGAGGAGTGGGGGAGGAGTGGGGAAGGCGGAGGAGGAGAGAAGCGACGACGATGGGACGGGTAAGGGAGGAAGTGTATGAGGAGGAGGAGGAAGAGGAAGAGGAGGGGGAAGGCAGTGGATGATGATGATGCTGATGATGATGATGAGGATGATGACCAGGATCATGATCATGAGGATGATGACGCTGCTGATGATGATGATGATCATGCTGATGATTCCTGTTGACGTTGTTGATGATGATGACGGTGATGGTGATGGTGGTTGTGGTGGTGGCTGTGACGGTTATGGTGATGATGGTTGTGGTGGTGGCGATATTGATGTTGGTGATGCGGATGTTGTTGGTGCTGATGATAGTGATGATGATGTCAATGATGGTAGTGCTGACGGTGATGGTGATGGTGATGGTGCGGGTGATAGTAATCATGCTGATGACGATGATGATCATGATGAGGATGATGATGGTGTTGATGATGTTGATGAGGATGATGTTGATGTTGTTGATGGTGGTGATGATCATGCTGTTGTTGTTGGTGCTGTTGCTCATGAAGACGATGATGGTGTTGACGATGATGATGATGATGATGATGATGATGATGATGATGATGATGATGATGATGATGATGATGATGATGATGATGATGATGATCATGATCATGATCATGATCATGATCATGATCATGGTCATGATGACGCTGCTGATAATGATGCTGATGATGACGTTACTGATGATGATGGTGGTGATGGCGATGATGATGATGATGAGGAGGATGCTGGTGGTGGTGGTGATGACGACGATGACGATGACGATGACGATGACGATGACGATGACGATGACGATGACGATGATGATGATGATGATGATGATGATGATGATGATGATGATGATGTTGATGGTGATGATGCTGATGTTGCTGCTGATGATGATGCCGATGATGATGCTGATCATGATGATGGTAATGAGGAAGATGAGGAGGGGACGGAGGAGGAGGAGGTGGAACCGAAGGAGGAGAGGAGAAAGAGGAGTATGACGAGAAGGAGGAGGAGGAAGAGGAGGAGGAGGAGGAGGAAGAGAAGGAGGGGGAAGAGGAAGAGGAGGAGGAGGAGCAGGCGCGGCAGGCATGATGTGGCCTCCTGCTCCCCTCTTCTTTCTCTGCCACCCTCCCCTCATCCTACTCCTCGCCCTCCGTTTCCTCGTTTTCCCCTCCTCCTCCTCCTCCTCATTCTCGTTCTCTAGGCACACTCCGCCTCGTCATTCGAAGGGCAAGAAGCGGCAGACAGCTCTGGCACAGCTTGGCGAGAAGCCGGAGGTGAAGCTGGGGCCCGAGACCGTCAGGCACAGCGATGGCAGCAGCGAGTGCGAGAAGGGCAGTCAGTGGCAGCCGTCTCCGTCGCCACTCACCGAGAGGGGGAAGGCGAATCCAGAGCCCGATGTCTTCAGCTACAGCACTGGGATCAGGGCGTGCGAGAAAGGCAGACAGCGACAGGCGGCTGCGGGATTACTCTGCGAGAAGCTGGAGGCGAAGCTAGATCCCGGTGTCGGCAGCAGCGCGGGGGCCACTGCGTTCGCACAGGACCAGCCGTGGCAGCAATCTCAAGCTCTGCTCAGCGAGATGTCGCGGGCAAGCTGGAGCCCGATAGCGCAAGCAGGGGCAGTGGCAGCAGGGCAATCACTGCTCAAGTTTTCGGGGAAGGCAGCTGGGACCCTAGGTTATCAGCTACTGGATTGCCTTGGGTGCAAGGCCATTGGCATCTTCTCTCTCTTTCTCTCTCACTCTCTCTCTCTCATCAGCTACGATGCTGACGACAGCTCCTGCGAGAAAAAAGACACGGAATCCTGTAAGTCGGCTTGGGGACGGCCCGTAGCAGCGTATGGGGCCGCTGTCGGCTAGTCGCGTGCGGCCTGTCGATCGTTCGAATCGCTCCAATCCGCTCTAACCCTCCTCCTCCTCCTCACCCTCCTCCTCCTCCTCCTCCTCCTCCCTCTCCTCCTCCTCCTCCTCCGCCTCCAGGCGTGGGCTTGAGGCGCCGGAGGCTTTTCCTGGCGTCGCGTTTTGGATTGCCTCACAATCTGACTTGCACCACAGCCCGCCCCAGGCTCGCGCTTGCCCAGGCGCGAGTCGACATACTGTTACAGCATACCAGCAGGCAGGTCTCGATCTCCAGCCTGGCACAGACGACGGCGCCGTGTTCGTGCTACTGCCAGGCGTCTCTTGAAGGTTGAGAAGCTGCGGGCATTGTTGAACAATCACCACGGATCGCAGGAGCCCTTCATGCATGGATCCCCAGGCGGCGGGGGAACTATGTCGGGCAAGCGGCCACCAGTCCAGAAGGAGCCGAAGTGGGCTTGCCTTGCGACAAGGCAGTGCGGCTTCCAGGGCAATTATGCTAGTAATGATAAGTGTTTTCAGTGCGGTCGCGATCGCCGTGGCGTTCCAGATCAGAATTTCGTGCCACGACAGCGACCTTCGTCACGACGTGCTGCCTCGCGGCCTCGAGCTGATTCAGGAGGTGGCAAAGTCAAAAAGGATGGCGACAGCGGCGGACCAGCAAGTCCTGCTGACGAAGTCGCTCAGGCTCGCCGCGCCCTGCAGGCGCTGCGAAAGCTCGGCTTGTCCGACAATGCAGCAGTTGTGCAGCAGGCCAAGCGAGATCTTCAGTCGGCGGAGGAGAAAGAGCAGCAGACTCGGACCCCCGACGACATGCTACGACGGTCCCTCGATAAGCACACAGCCAAATCCAAAGAAGTGGATGAGCTCAAAGGGGCCGTCTCTGAGCTTGACGAGAAGCTGCAGGCAAAGAAGGCCTCCCTGGCCCAGGCCACCACAGAGCTGCAGAGCATCCAGGCTGAGGTCAACATGGCTCGGACTGCAGTGTTGGCATCAACAGCGCAGGGATCAACATCGACGCCTTCGCTGCAGGACGCGGTGTAGAGGCTTCAGACGGTGGTGGCAGGAGCCCCTGCGGCGTTATTGGCAGGTAACCCGCAGGCCATGCTGCAGACGCTCGCAGAACAGTTGGCCCAGCTACAGAGTGCAGTCCAGTCGCAGGACCCCTCGCAGCAGCCAGCTCAGCCGCCGCAGCAGAGGCAGCAGCAGATGCAGCCAGCCCAACAAGTGCAGCATGTGCAGCAAGCTCCCTCTCCAGGAGGTGCTCCCTCCCGAGCGGCTCCAGGTACTCCTAGTACGAATGGACAAGAGCACCCGTGGACCAATCTCCTCAACCAGCAGCAGGCCGAGGATGAGTCCATGGACAGCGAGACTTGACAGCGACATTCATTGGTTTCCCATGCCGCGGCTGTTCAACAATCAGGTCGTCTCCCTCGATGACCTGCCGTTGTCTGAACTACCCGCAGCGCCAGTTCAAATTCCTGGGCCTCGCCCAGGTTCCTTCGTCGCCAGGGCGGTGACCCAGTCCCTGGGCAGTGTCGGCGCAGGAGTCGGCAGATCAGCGAGTGGACTGGGCGCCCAACCCGATTTGCTGGATGACTGCTCGAATGGTACTTGCGGCATGATGGGCGATAGGTCATCATCGGCGCACGTTCCAGGACGGCTGCAATTTCTACATTCCTAGAGGGCGGCTCTCCGAGGCAAGCGTAAGCC